TTTTTTCTTCTTGCATTCTATAAAAGTAAAGTAGAGCTGGAGAGGAAAACAAAACCTGGCCGTTCAGAAAAAACAACTCCTTGAGACCACGACAAAGCCAAGAAAACAAGTCTTCCTTGAGAGGTGTCTCAACAGATGGAGTCACAAAGACCTGTTTCTACCTCTCAAGTCACAGCAGCTGTGACCAGCTCTGCACTTAGTAAGGTCCTCAATCCATTGTTGTCCCTGGTGATGCTGTTTCTCCAAAGTGTCTGTCATGTTTGGAAAGGTCTCCTCATCATTGACATCCAAAAGTTTGCATGAGGGCAGTGGTGGGGAGCTCTGTAGAATATCTTCAGTCATCAAAGGTTCTGAATTGAATTGAAAAATTATGAAAGAACTTAGGTAAGTCTGATGCTATGAGCAGAGCCCATGAACTAGCAACCACAGAATTTTATATCATCATCATCATTATCATCATTATTATTGCTTTAGCTTACTTAGTGCTAGAGATACAGGTATGCTTCACTATGCTCTGCTTTAGGTATGGAGTTTTTAAAAAATTAGAAAAAACATACAACAAAAGAAACGTTATATTTTACTTCAAAGTTTCTTGCATTTGGTCCTTGAGAAGATATTGTTTTTTAAGTTCTAGAAAGACAAGCAAATGAACAATGATATAACACCAAATCGTACCATCTCCAACTGGGCCTCCCCGAGGCAGGTTTCTGTACCGTCTCCCTGGTGCCAGGCCACATATCACCCTGTCTACTGGTCTTGCTACTTCGACTTCCTGGGTTAGTTCTGCAAACTTCATGACTTGCTGAAAATACAAAACAGAATCTGTAAAAACAAGACTACCTGTCCTTCTTTATGGATGGCTAAATAGTCTGTCTGCATATCCAGTGACCATGTACAGATCTACAGACTGCCATTCTTCACATCCAAGTAGCTGCTTTCCCTAGAGAAACCAAACTGTATAGGACAAAAATACACTTAAATTACCAAGCTTTGTTCATAGTCTTCAGCCTTTGGATTCACACACACGATCATCCGAACCTTCCCCTCCCCATCGAAGTAGTTCTTGAATAGTCGGGTTAGCTTTGAATCTCGATATGGAACCATCTATAAAAACATCCAAAAGCTAAGCATATGTGACTGTAAAATGAACAAACTAAACCACAAAGAAGCTGGGGAAGGCTGCTGTGTACCTTGTTGGTTCCATATTTCTGGTTTTCTCTCAGGACTTCCATGCATATTCTTAGTGTCATCAAGGACTGGTTAATGCTTCCTGACAGGAAATAAGAAACAAAAGACATGTGAACCAGCAAGACAGGAGCTGATGACTCTGTGCCTGTAAAACCTCTACTCTACTGAACTGATAAGACTCTCATGCTCAAGTTCAAGAGGTGCCTATGCATGATCCCACTGTACTTTCACGGTATTAATTCTGAATAGCCTCAGCATCTTTCAGTGGTTCCATAAAATGCTCTCCAAATACAATATTGCTCTTTACTTTCATTTTATGTGCGTTGGTGTTTTGACTGCATGTATGGCATCTGTTTGATGGTGTTGGATCGCCTGGAACTGAAGCTAGAGACAGTTGTGAGCTCCCATGTAGGTGCTGGGATTTGAACCCAGGTTCTCTAGAAAAGCAGTCAGTGCTCTGAACTGCTGAGTCATCTCTCTAGCCCCACATTATTACTCTTAAAAAAAAAAGAAGAGAAAGAATATAGAATCTCTTTTTTAATTTTAATTCTATTAAACTTTATTCTTTGTGTTTGAGCGTTTTTGCCTAAATGTATGTAAATGTACTGCATGTCTGTCTGGTGCTCACAAAAGCCAGTGAGGACATCAGATCCCCTGGAAATTGAGTTATGAATAGTTGTGATAGTTCTGAGCTCTCATGTGGATGCACAAATTAAACCCACGTCATCTGGAAGAACAACATCTTCCTTCATTCCCTCCCTCCCTCCTTCCTTCCCTCCCTCCCTCCTTCCTTCCCTCCCTCCAGCCCTTCTCTCTTTCTTTCTGGTTTTCCAAGATATGGTTACTGTGTTTAACAGCAGAGTCCTGTCTATCCTGGAAGTTGCTTTGTAGACCAGGCTGACCTATCTCTCTGCCTCTGCCTCCCAGGACTTGGATTAAAAGCCTGTACCGCCATACCTGATCCAACAAGTGCTCTAAATTGCTGAGCCATCTCTCTAACTTGGGAATCCATTTGACACTGAATTCTGTGCTGATTTCAATGAGAGTGGTCCCCATAGGATCATATGTTTAACTGCTTGGTTTCTAGTTGAAAGAACTATTTGGGACAGTTTAAGAGGTAGAGCCTGGTTGGAGGATGTGTTTCACTGGAGGCAGGCCTTAAGAAGGTTTCAAAAGCATAAGCATTCTGAGTCTCCTTCTCTCTCCCTGCACCCCTCTGCCTCATGGTTATGAATCATCTGATCACAGTTACCCCACAGTACTCTCTCAGCTACTGCTCCAGTACCATGCCTACTTGTTGCCTATCCCCTTGCCATGATGGTCACCAACTCACCCTCTGAAGCTGGAAGCAAGTCCCCAGCTAAGTGTTTTCTTTTCTAAGTTGCCTTCATGGCAATAGAAAATAACAGTTTCTTCCAAACCCTAAATTCTGTCATAGACAAAGTCATTTACTTGGCTTTCCTCCTTCTTTTCTTTTCTAGGGGTGGTGGTGCTGGAGACTAAACACAG